AAACCTGTACCGCGGCTTACTAAATGTTTTCTTTTCTTAACTGATATGTTAAGTGACCCAATTGATATGTTGAGCAATACTCTCCCCTGTAAAGAATTGCAAGAATTTCACTTAATTGAAATGTTAATCACGGAGCGGCCCTCTACAAACAAGAAGAGTGGTGCTAAAACAAGCTAACAAGGGCTGTTAATCATGGGTAGGCGCCTCTAGTCTTCGCTAAAGAACTAAAGAAGACAAGAAGGCCCACTAATTTACACATTGTTTGAAGTAGTGTGTTTATATGCAGGGAGATTTGCCCATGAGTTTAACCTTTTTACCTAACCTTAGTTACTCTTCCCACAAGATAGATACTCGCCGTTTTCCTGTTCTGTAGCGCGCCTTATTGCCTCCCCCCACCCACCTATCTGGGCCATAAAGAATTTGGGTTTCTGGTGACCTCTCCCCGACCTGGTGATGATCTGTCATAAAATGAGCCTGCCCCAATTTTAAGAACTGTTTAGCTTCAAAGAAATTACCGGGAAATACTGTGGCCCAAACCCCGATCGGTGCTTTCCTTTTGTTCTGTATGTACCAATGGGTTAGATATCAGATCTTTGTAAAACTTAAGTTCCAGCATCTCATAACTCGTGACCCCTTCGCACTCACTGGCGAAGACAAGCTGTCCTGGGATAATTAACTCTCCACTTTCTTCCCCAAATATTGCTGCAGATGTGCCACTCTGAGATAATGTCAGTCTGCAGGATGGGAGTAATTTGAGCAACACCAGGAGCTCCCGGGACTGTCAGAGCTAAGTGGACAGCAATGCAGTTTCCAGATGCGGGTCAACAGGTTTAATGGCCTTACAGGTTTCCTCCCCACTTTCCCTTACTTTTAAAAACCCCTTTCCCCAGTCTTGGGCGCGCAGTCTTTGGTTTGATCCAGGAGAGACTGTGCCGCCAGGACTGGCTCAATAAAGCCTTTGCCACTTAAGTTTTGGACTCTTGTTTCTGTGGACTTTATACCGGGGCCCACGTTATAACATTTGGGGGCTCGCCCTGGATGGAAGCAAGACTCCAGACTCATTTCCGAACATCTGAAAGTAAGTGCTCTGGAGGTTTTGTTTGGGCCGCGGTCAATTTGTAATTTTGAGGGGACGCCCTCATTTTGGGAGTGGGAACCACCGGAGGACAGAGTCAGTTGGTTTGTCGGACAAATTCTGTCCATCTGTGAATCTGCCCCGGGTGAGGAACCACTCCGTTCAGAAGGGGACGCCCTTAATTTGGGAAGTGAAGCCCCCGAGGACGGAGTCAATTGGTTTTTGCCATTTGTGACTCCGCCTGGGTGGGGAACCACTTCATTAGTTAAATTTGTTAATTCCTCCAGATCCCAAAATTTGACTAATTTTTGAGCAAAGGCCATTCTGCTGCAGCTTGTCTTGTCCTGTCTCGTCTTGTGTGTCGGTCTGTGTGTTCATTTGTTCTAATTGTTCCCCTTTTTGGTCACCTAACTCTAACAGAGCCTTCTTTCTTAGGAGCTCCTTCCTGGAATTCGGAGTGGGCAAAGGTGATTCCGACCGTTTGCCTAGTCTCTGTAGTTTTTCTGTTTAACCCTAACTTTGCCTTTTAAGTTTTTTTCCAGCAAAACCAGCGACACCACCAGCTATGGGTCAGAACGAGTCCATTATGGGTCGGAACGAATCTGTTCCCAGAACTCCCCTTAGCCTTGTCATTGACCACTTTAAAGAATTCCAGAGGCGAGGTGGGAGATATGGGGAAAGGGTTTGCAAAGCCAGACTAACAACCTTTGTCACACAGGAGTGGCCCCTGGGGACCCAAGGAGTCTGGCCCCCTTTTGGGTCCTTTGATATGGAGACAGCTCGAGCGGTCCGCCAGTATGTATTTGGGCCCCCCGCTCACCCCGATCAGATTGTCTATATCCAGGCTTGGATAGATACAATCTATGATGCTCCCCCTTGGATTGAGCCACCTCCGAATGGAGTCCTAGCAGCCCTCAAACCGAAATCCAAGGCTGAAGAGGAGACCTCCAAGCCCAACGCACCTCCAGTCTTACCTCCGAGCGAATACTTCTCCGACCCGCTAGACATCCTTCCCTTACCCCCTCCCCCGTATCCTGCCCCTGAGCCACAACCTGACTCCACCTCGCCCTCCCCGCCTTGGCCCATTCGAACCCTCCGCCACGCTCGACCAGAGGGACCTCTGGAACAGGGCCACGAGGCAGCGCCACTGTGTCCTCTGCGGGAGGTCCCAGCCCCGAGTGGGGGCTCCATGTTTGTGTACACCCCCTTCTCTTTCTCTGACCTCTATAACTGGAAAAGTCAGAACCCCCCTTTCTCGAAGGACCCGGAATCTCTGATTAGCCTTATAGAGTCTGTTTTCTCCACCCACCTTCCCACTTGGGACGACTGCCAGCAGATCTTACGCATCCTTTTCACGGCTGAGGAAAGGATGCGAATCTGCGCTTTGGGGCAAAAGGGAGTCCGAGAACCGGATGGATCTCCATCCACTGATCGGCAACGAATTGAGCACTTGTTCCCCTCCTCCCGGCCCGAGTGGGACCCTAACACGGATGCAGGTAAGAAGGCTCTCGATGAGTATCGCCTGAGGCTCTTAGATGCACTTCGTGCGGCTGCTAAGAAGCCCACCAACCTGTCCCGAGTGAGTGCAGTGCAGCAGTTAGCCGATGAGTCTCCAGCGGTGTTCTTAGAGCGCCTTTTAGAGACCTATAGATTATATACTCCAATCAATCCGATGGCACCCGAGAACGCACGAGCAATTAATATTGCTTTCGTGTCCCAGTCGGCCCCTGATATTAGGAGAAAGTTACAAAAGCTTGAGGGATTCGAGGGAATGCCTCTCAGCCAGTTGGTCGAGGTCGCACAAAAGGTTTTCAACAATAGGGAAACCTTGCAAGAAACAACAACCAAAAGGATGACTAAAGTACTGGAATTACTTTGCGAAAAAGAAGCCAAGAGGTCAGCTAGCCCTAGGAAAAAGGAAGCTCGAGGTAAGCGACCTCCTCTAGACAAAGAGCAATGTGCGTACTGTAAGGAGATGGGACATTGGCGTAAGGATTGTCCAAAGTTAAAGCCTAAGACAGAACGAGAGACTAAGGCCCTGTTGTCTCAGAAATGAGGAGGTCAGGGCTCACCGCCACCCCCCGAGCCCCGGATAACTCTCCAAGTGGGGGGGCAACTGGTGGACTTCCTAGTCGATACAGGAGCTACCTATTCTGTGCTGACTCAACCATTAGGAAAACTGACCAAGCAATCTGTCAATGTGATAGGAGCTACAGGGGGCCGAAAATCGTACCCAAAGGTGACAGCTAGTCTGGCTCGACCTGGACATAGACTGGTCCAACATGATTTTCTTTGGGTCCCTGAGTGCCCGGACCCCCTTTTAGGGCGGGACCTTCTACATAAATTACAGGTGCAAATTGACTTTGTTACGAATGAACCTAGACTGAAGCTAGGGACTGATACCCCCTCAAAATCGGAGGGTATTAGAGTGTTGGCTCTTGTCCCAGAAGGAGAAAGTTACCGCCTGCTGGGAAATTTGTCTGGTGCACCCGAGTTGTCACGGACTGACTTAGAATTAGAACTGCTGAACAAATGGAAACAGGAGATTCCAGAAGTCTGGGCAGAAAACAACCCTCCAGGGCTAGCAGTCAACCAAGTCCCCCATGTGGTGGAACTCTTGCCTCAGGCACGTCCCATCTGCTTAAGGCAATACCCAATAAGCCTGCAAGCCCGGAAAGGAATTAAAGTCCACATACAGAGACTAAGAGACAATGATATTCTCATTCCTTGTGTCTCTCCCTGGAACTCGCCCTTGCTCCCAGTTCAAAAACCGGGGACAAATGACTATCGCCCTGTACAGGATCTCCGAGAGGTTAATAGACGAGTTCTGACTCTACACCCAACAGTGCCAAATCCTTACACCCTGCTCAGCCTCCTTAATCCGGAGAACACCTGGTACTCTGTCCTGGACCTGAAGGATGCCTTCTTCACCCTGCCTCTTGCTCCGGTGAGTCAACCCCTATTTGCTTTCGAGTGGACTGACCCAGATACAGGGGTAAAGGAACAGCTGACCTGGACACGTTTACCTCAGGGCTACAAAAACTCTCCCACCCTTTTTGACGAGGCATTAGCAAGAGATCTCTTAGGATTTAGAGAAGAACACCCCGAGATAGTGCTCCTTCAATATGTAGATGATTTGTTGATAGCCTCAGCGTCCCTAGAAACATGTCAAGAGGCAACTGAGGAGTTGTTAAAGACTTTGGGACGATTAGGCTATAAAGTCTCGGCTAAAAAGGCTCAACTGTGTCGCCAGGCCGTGACTTACCTGGGCTATAAATTACAAGAAGGAAAGAGGACATTATCAAAAGAAAGAATCCAGGCCATATTACAAATCCCATCCCCAGAAACTAAGAAACAGGTGCGGGAGTTTCTGGGAGCTGTCGGATACTGCAGACTATGGATTCTAAACTTTACTGAAATCGCTCGCCCATTGTATGACTCTTTAAAGGGAGAGACTCAAAAGTCGCTCGACTGGACAGATGAGTGCGAGCAGGCTTTCCAACAGCTCAAGCGAGCTCTGACTGAGGCTCCAGCCCTGGGGCTCCCTGATGTTACTAAACCCTTCACCTTGTTCGTAGATGAACTCAGAGGCATAGCAAAAGGGGTTCTAACTCAAGATATTGGCCCTTGGAAGAGACCTATAGCCTATCTTTCTAAAAGACTCGACCCAGTGACAGGAGGGTGGCCTCCGTGCCTGAGAATTTTGGCCGCTGTGGCAATGCTACTCAAAGAGGCTAAGAAGCTCACTTTTGGACAAAGGATTTCTGTGGTAACCTCCCACAGCCTAGAGACTCTTATTAAAACCCCCCCAGAAAAATGGCTTTCAAATGCCAGAATTCTACACTATCAGGCCTTGCTTCTAGACCCAGAATCAGTAGTTTTCAAGACCTCTTCAGCTCTAAACCCAGCCACTCTTATGCCCGACGATAACCCAGAAAACCAACAGATGCCTCTCCATGAGTGTGCTGACATTCTCGAGTTACAGCAGAACTTGCGAGCTGATCTAACCGACCAGCCTTTTAAGGACGCTTACAATTATTTCACCGACGGAAGCAGTTTCATTCAGGACGGGAGGCGAGTGGCCGGCGCAGCAGTGACCACCGAGAAAGAGGTACTCTGGGCTAAGCAGTTAGAGCCTGGCACTTCTGCCCAAAGGGCAGAGCTCATTGCTCTGACAGAGGCATTAAAGCTAGCCTCAGGAAAGAGGGTAAACATCTACACAGACAGCAGATATGCTTTTGCTACTGTACATGTACATGGAGCTATTTACCATGAACGCGGTCTCTTGACCTCGGCCGGGACTAAGATTAAAAATGCCCCACAGATCCTAGACTTGCTAGCAGCTGTCTGGCTACCTCAGCAAGTCGCTATTATTCATTGCAAGGCACACCAAGTGGGAGATGACCCCATCATCATAGGAAACAATTTGGCCGATCAGGCTGCCCGAAAAATAGCAACCACATCAGAGGGGCCTGCAGAGGAAATGACTGCCCTGATGCTAGTCCCTCAAGCCTTGTCAGAGCCTGTTTATTCGAAGACAGATTTACAGCTAGCATCTCAACTTGGAGCCAAACCCCGCACTCCAGGGGGCTGGTATCAGCTGCCCGACAAGCGAGTGCTGTTACCCGAAGCACTAGGACGAGAGCTTTTGCAGCAAGCTCATCAGGCTACTCATTTAGGAGGAACTAAACTAGCAGAATTGTTCAGAGATCGATTTTTCATTCCAAAGCTCTCCAAACTAACTGCCTCTCTGAGCTCTAGATGTCCACAGTGTTTGTTGGTCAACCCAACCAGGAAACCTCCACTGGAAACCACCCGGTATCGAGGAACCTCCCCAGGAGAACACTGGGAAGTGGACTTCACGGATATGGTAAAACCTGGCTTACAGGGACACCGCTATCTCCTGGTGATGGTAGACACATTCACTGGATGGGTAGAGGCCTTCCCCACTAAGTCTGAGTCAGCCCTGGTTATAGTTAAAAAGCTACTACATGAGATTATACCCTGATTTGGCCTCCCATTATCAATGGGGTCCGACAATGGCCCGGCTTTTATAGCCCAAGTTACCCAAAAGTTAGCCCAAGTATTAAAAATCAGTTGAAAACTCCATTGTGCCTATCGGCCACAAAGCTCGGGACAAGTAGAGCGCATAAACCGGACCATTAAGGACGCTTTAACTAAGCTGTCTTTAGAAACTGGTGACAATTGGGTGAGCCTTCTTCCCTTTGCATTGCTGAGGGCCAGATGCACCCCATATATTTCTGGGATCTCCCCCTTTGAGGCTATGTTCGGGAGACCCCCGCCTATAGTTCCTAAGTTGTCAGAAGACAAATTAGCCGAAGTAACTAACCAAGATCTCATTAAGTCCTTACAGAGTCTCCAGCCTGTACTGACCTCAATTCACCGGCTGTTCAGACAAAAACATCCGAACCCCCCCTTGGGAACGCTGCCCCAAGCGTCAATTGAGCCAGGAACGTTGGTCCTGGTGCGACGACACCACCGGGATTCGCTTGAGCCGCGCTGGGAGGGACCGTTCACCGTGGTGCTCAGCACTCCCACCTCCGTCAAGGTAGCAGGAAAGACTGCGTGGATCCACCACACACAAGTCAAACCACTGAAAGCTACAGACGACGAAAAGGGTCCCCGATGGACAGTACAACGGACTGGTAACCCATTAAAGTTAAAGTTTGTAAAGGACTCTCAGCCATAAAATTATGTCTGTACTATGGTATTTGGCTTGGTGCTCGATTATAATTGTAAACCCCGGGAATGGGGACTGGATTGTTTCAGACGAGAAAACTAAAAGGGAACTAGGGAGAGCTAAAGGCACGATAAATCAAGTCACCATTGACCTATGTATACTTTTCAATGGGATAATAATTAATGATGACAGCCCAACTGGCAGGGTAGGTGGGTCGGTCCACCGTAACCTCTGCTCGGGCCGTGGGCCTAAAGCTCTGCAAGTTATGTTTCAACTCAAGCAGGCATCCCTGTATGTATGTCCTAAAAACCAGCCTGACCCCAATTATAATGTGTACTGTGCCTCCGATCCAAAACATCAATATTGTTATTTGTGGTCATGTGTCACAGGAGGCCTAGATGGATACTATAACTCTGAAAAGTATCTCGCTGTCAAGTACATAGGAAACAAAAACTGTTATGGTGTTTATACTTGTAACCCAGTCCAGCTGACCTTTCTAAATCCAACGGATTTTAGGTGGCTGGGGCAGGGACTTACTTACGCTGTTAAAATTTATAAATCTGGACATGATCCTGGAATTAGTATCAATATCTTATACAAGCCACCTAGAAAGCCTCCTGTAGTCATTTACAGGAGAGGACGCCGCCCAGTGACAGCCCCCACTCAGAAGGCACCCATTAATTTCCCACTCAGTCGACCCCGGAGGCACACTCCGACGACTAAAGTGACTGAGGCCACATGCAATGGGAGCATTTACCACACAGACCAGCCCCAGATAAAGCTGTGTAAATGGAGGGGGGAAGGGGGCATCCCATACTGGATAGAGATTAGAGTGCCTAGCCTCAATCCAACCTCGATGCAACCTTCAACAAGGGCTACAAAAACTGGTTTGAGAAGGTCTAGACGGGCACAGACTGAGCCCAAAGCCTCCGCCCCACCTTCAATGATAGCGGAAATATTCCAACCTTTGGAAGTAGCAGCTGAGCTACTTAACAGTTCCCTTGATAGCGATTTAAAAATCCCATGCTGGCTGTGCATGTCCCCAGAGCCCCCCTTCTATGAGGGCTACATCACGGTCACTGATAAACTAGCCTCCGATCCCCCTAGATGCAAAATGCTCCTTCCCCAATCGCTATGGAAAGGCACCAGTTTAGAGGGGATAACTGGTACCTGCATATATCATTTTAGCCACACAGCCCCTGAGTATTGCGACCTTTCTCACTCTTATCGCATCACAGGAGCTGGTGACGCTACTCCCCTAATAGCCCCGGCCAGCCATTGGTGGGCTTGTACTTCAGGATGGTTCCCTTGTATGATTTCAAAAAAGTTCATTGTTGACCAGGATGAGGTGTGTGTACTAACCCAGGTTCTGCCTAGAATCTACTGGCACTCCGAGGAAGAAGGGAACCGGGCTCTCATCTCAGCCAGTCACCAGATCAATAAGAGAAGTCCAGCCCTCCCTATTATGGCTGAGATCAGTGTATTCTCAGCCCTCGGGATGAGTGCTGCGTCAATGGGAGTTAGCATACACCAATACAAATGCTATCTCAACAGGTAGATGAAAAAATAAAAAGAGTCCAAAATGCTATTGAGGCCTTAGAGAGTTCAATGGACTCATTAGCTGAAGTAGCTCTCCAAAATCGCAGAGGACTAGACCTCTTGCTTGCTGAAAAAGGAGGACTGTGCTTGGCCCTGGGAGAGCAATGCTGCTTGTACGCCAATAAGTCTGGGGTAGTTAGACAAAACTTAGCGAAACTCCAAAGAGGCATACAAGAAAGAGAGAGACTAAGACGAGGAGCTCTAGGGTGGGCAGAGCAAATGTTCTCCTTCCCACCGTGGATAACCAACATAATAGCGACCGTAGCCGGTCCTATCATTGTGATTCTAGTGCTAGCTACTTTGGGCCCCTGCATAGTAAATAGGCTGACTGCATATGTCAAGCGTCAGGTACAAAGTATAAAATTAATGATGGTCAGGCAACAAGCGTATGAGCTTGTCCCCAGCAGACCTTAAGTACGGCCAAGGATTTGGCCCAGAAGTCACAACATCAGAGGGGAATGTTGTACTCTAAGAAAGTAGCTTCATCATTTTGTGTATTATAGCAAACCTGTACCGCGGCTTACTAAATGTTTTCTTTTCTTAACTGATATGTTAAGTGACCCAATTGATATGTTGAGCAATACTCTCCCCTGTAAAGAATTGCAAGAATTTCACTTAATTGAAATGTTAATCACGGAGCGGCCCTCTACAAACAAGAAGAGTGGTGCTAAAACAAGCTAACAAGGGCTGTTAATCACGGGTAGGCGCCTCTAGTCTTCGCTAAAGAACTAAAGAAGACAAGAAGGCCTGTTGGGAGCCGCAGCCCCGAGCCCGGTCGCCTCACTTGGCGGACGTGAGGCCTGTAGTATAGAGTGAGGCCTGAGGTAGATTACCCCTCCCATCGAATATGTTAGTTTCCTGCTTACCGCGTAAACAACCCGCTCAACAATATAGTCTGCCTGGCAACTGATGATGTTAGCCAATCAGCTTGCCTTGCTTACTTTAACATGATTGGACACTGTATCCGTATATATACCGGTGCCACCCCTGGGCGGAAGTAGAAGCCAGATAGAAGCCCGGAAGTAGAAGCCCAAAAGGAGCCGCGGAGAGCGGACCGGCAGAGGCTTTGGGGCAGGCTGAAGCACAAAAGGAGCCGCGGGGAGCGGACCAAAGGAGGCTTCAGCTGGGAGAACCCAGGGCAGGCTGTACGGAGAAGGAAAATAAAAAAGAAAAGGTTGTCCACTCCCAGACTTTGTCGTGTGTCCTTCCTGCCGGCCGGGAGCGGACATCGACATTTGGAGGCCCGCCCGGGGACTGATCACCCCCGCGACGTGGAAGTGGACAACGCTCCAGTACAGAGCTGCGAGACAGGTGAGTTGGGGATAAGCCTGGGCTCTGGGTGGCGCGCACCTACAGGGCTTTTAGACTCCCCTCAGGCTCACGCGTAAGTGGCGGATTCCTTGGGCCTCACGCGGTGAGTAACATATTAAAAGATGGGAAACATGTTAGGTAGCAACACTAAGAGCGAGGGTGGTTGTGGAGAAAGCTCTCAAGAGCTTACAAAAGTACGCAGGGTATCTGAGCAGGCCCAGTCAGGGAGCTCCCGAGAGGTGTCTGTCAAGGGGAACAAGGATGCTAAGGAGGAGGACGGGGCTCTAGCCTCGGAGTCGTCTGACTCCGAGGACGAGGGAAAGTTGAATGGCAGGGAGGCCAAAGAGACCAGCTGTCAGGAGCCTAAGTCGCTCAATAAGGAGTCGCAGGGTTCTTTTCCAGCGTTGCCCCGCGAATTGCGCTCTGCTCAACCTGGTGTGCGGAGGAGTAGAGAGCTCCTGAGTGCGCCCCGGCGCGAGAGGGAGGCAAAGCCTTCCGCCCCACCCTGGGGGCCGTTCCCGGAGGCGATTCCTCGCCACGAGGCGGCCGCCTGGGAGCCCCCCCCCCTTTCGCCAGAACAGGAAGTGATGCACGGGCCCCCATTCTCCGCCCAATCACGGCCGCCGTCTTATGCTCCGCCGCCGGCGGGTCGGTATTTTCACAGGCGGCTTTGGCAGGGGGGACGCTTGTCTCATGAGGTACATCCACCTGGGATAGATAGTGGCCCCTACGAGATATTTCCTGTACAAGTAGCTATGGGCCAGGGACGCAATGTATGGGAGCCTTTTGAGATAAAGCAGATTAGAGAACTTAAAAATGCAGTTACAACCTTTGGGCCGACTGCGCCTTACACCATTGCCATGCTGGAGAATCTGTCTTCTGGGCCCCTCACCCCCACAGACTGGATTCAGCTGGCAAAGGCGTGTCTGCCCTCGGGCAGTTACCTGGATTGGCGAGCCTGGTACACAGAGTTCTCTGCAGAGCAGGCTGAGAAAAACGCCAATCGAGGAAACCGGGGGTGGAACAAAGAAATGCTTATGGGAGAAGGTCGGCACGCTGATGACCAGACCCAGTTCCCCGGCGCTGTCTATGAGCAAATCAATGCCATAGGACTCCGCGCCTGGAAGCAAGTAAGTGGTGCCGGAACAGCCTCCTTGTGTCTTTCAAAAATAATTCAGGGTACCACAGAGCCATTTGTTGACTTTGTGGCCCGAATGCAAGATGCTGCCGATAAAATATTTTCTGATCCGGGAGTGGCTCGACCGCTGGTAAGGCAGCTGATTTTCGAACAGTGTACAAAGGAGTGCAAGGCAGCGATAGCCCCTCATAAGAACAAGGACCTCAATGCCTGGATTAGGATATGCAGAGAGATAGGGGGGCCGCTCTCCAACTCGGGAGTGGCTGCTCTCCTGGCCGCGGCTATACAGCAGAGGGGACCTCGCGGGTTAGAAGGGGAATGTAAGGCTAAAGGGTGTTTTGCCTGCGGGGAGCCAGGACACATTAAACGTCACTGCCCAAACAATGCAGATGCTAGGCCTCGTCCTAGGAATGAAGAACCATATGTTTGTGGGCGATGCAAGAAGGGATCACACAAAGCTGAGGAGTGTAGGTCGGTCTTTGATGCTCAGGGCAACCGTATTTGTGGACGAGATGCTACAGAGCCAAAAAACGGCCAGAGGGGGCCCCCTTCACAGGCGGGCCCCCGCCCCAGAGACAGGACAGCTCAGGGTGGCAGCCTTCAACAAGGGCCACCCCTGGGTCAGCAGGTGTGGACCTCAGTGTCGCCTCCAGACTTATATGGGTGTTCATCTTGTCATTTGTCACTCAGCACCCTATAATTTTTCCAAAGGTTACTGCCTCTGAGCCATTAGTCCCAGCAACTACAATATATACAGATGGCTCCAAGACGGGGATAGGCGCCTATGTGATCCTAGGCAAGCCCCCGGTTACCATACAATTTGAACCAGATCAGCCTCAGGTGGTGGAACTGCAGATCGTTAAAATGATTCTTGAACGGTTCTCAGAGGCCATTAACATTGTCTCCGATTCTAGGTATGTGGTCAATGCTATGCAAGTGCTTGAGACTGCCGGTTTAATTAGATCCACTTCCACAGTGGCTGGGCTGTTCCTGTCTATCCAGACATTGCTTCAAAACAGGCACCATAAGGTCTTCACCACCCACATAAGAGCACATACATCCCTGCCAGGGCCTATGGCACAGGGAAATGCGGCTGCTGACACTGCCACTCGCCCGTTATGGATTTTTACCTTACTAACACCAATCGAGCGAGCCCGTGCCTTCCATGATAAGTTTCATGTCAGTGCCAGGACACTAGCAAACCATTTCCATGTTTCTAGAGCAGATGCACGAGATATCGTGCGACTATGTGACTCCTGTGCCACATACAAACCTGCCATACCGATGGGAGTAAACCCTC